TTGATTAAATACGAAAATATTTGCCTCTGAAAAGAAAGCCATAGATATGTATATGTAGATATTTCGTAAAAAATTAATGTAGTTGAAATCCCTCCAGTGGGCATGGGGCGATCACATTTCTGTGTTCGTTTCACTATTCGATTTTATTAAAAAGTAGTATATCAAAATTTTGTGCCCGAACAATTTATCGTTTATCCGAGATTCGAACCCAGGACTCGCGCTTAACGCAATAATAAGTAACACCTTTAACCATTTAATTTTGAAAATGTTGTACTATTCGCGATTTCGAGACATTAGGTTATAATTTTATAAATTAGTGGCTGTTAGTTTGAGTAGTTTTATTGTCAGAAGCTTATAACTTACTAAGCTGTCATGTACATGGTTCACTTGTGTTAAATGAAGTTAAAAAGCTGTATGTAAAAAAATTACGAACCCTTAGTAAAAATAAATATTTAACACACGTTTTCCTGTTGTAGATATAATAAATGAATTAATATGTATGTAACATCAGTGGCCTTTAAAAAAATGTCGTTGGCACGAACTAGTTTATCAAATATTTAGATAAAGCTTATCTGCTTCCGCAATCAGTAGCATGAATATAAAAACCTAAAGACCTGTTTGAATGGTTCGCAATGTAACGGAAATTGAAAAAAAAAAATCAGTTTCATAATCTGATCTCGGGACCCCCGGTGGGGGCCACTAGTGGTTTTTTTAGTGGATTACCACCTACTTTGGTAGAGCAAGGCAAAGTTCAGAGTAGCTGGACTCCCATACTTGCGTAAAAGCATCTAAATTTAACAAAAAGACCTCATCACAGAATGTAATTTCAGTTTGGAGGTTCTTTATTAAATCTATACTAATATTATAAAGATGAAGAGTATGTTTTATTTGATGACTAATACTAGGTTCGAGTTGTTTTTTTTTTGTCTTAGATAGACCATTTATTTAGGAAGGATTTAGGCAATTAAACTAAAATATGTAAAACGTTAGGCAGCGCTCAATTAGAGTGAAAACAAAGTGAAAAACAAAACGGACATGTGTCATCTTTAAGGGTTTCCGAGTCCGCGATTCAGTGTATGTCTATCTTTTAACATACAAGAACCGCTTTTGTGGTAGCCAAAGCCATTGGTTCACAACATATCGCTAAAATGGAATTCCATTTTTGAAGGATATTGGTTCGAACACATTTCTGAGTCCGTTTCGATCGATTTTATTTACAGGCAAGAAGTTGATCTGACCCTGAGTGTCGTACCCGAACCATGCTTCTCATGCTTAACAATGCTAGGCAACTCTTTAAACCTTAGACCCAAGAAGGAGGTCTTCATATGACCACCATAGTGGTAATCGTTTTACCGACCAAGCTGCACTGGAACTGTGGTAGGTCTTTTAAAAACCGTTTCGCTACCAGAGACCATAGTGGGATAATACAAGATTAATACAAGTCATATCATAGTCCTCGATATTTCTTATTTCCCTTTATGTTTCTAGTTCTTTTCTTGCCGTATTAATTAATGTTGTAACGTACGATTTCTTCGAACTAAAAATGTTTAATAAACTCCCAGTTTTGTGAGAATGAAACCTGAACGTGTTTTCAATCAGCCGTCTATTGTCTGGTCTTGCGTGTAGTGGCAATACCTCCTTATTGGCATATAATTTTATCGTCTCTTGCGCAATTTTTTTTTATTCGGATAACGCCTCAACTATGTAATCAAGACTACGAAGTATTTGACAAGCTGCTTCGCAATAAAGGTTTGTTTTAATACTTACTTATTAAAGCAAGCCTGTTTTACAGATAAGTTCAAGACCAAAAACCATGTGGTAATGTATTGTTAACAATTGTTTGTATTTAAGAAGATACAAAATTATCTTAGAAAATTTCAGTACATATCTATAATTTACGTATTTAATTTAAACATTACCAAAAATATATTTAAATTACCGAATGCGCATGAGTACTTCAAATAGTTGGTTCAATTTGTATTTGTAGAGACGGTGAAGCTTCGTAGCGCCCTACTGCCACACATAAAGACACGAACATAATGATATAGAAATGATGACAAAACTAGTTTATAAGGGGTCAATCATAGTCACGTCGGGTGCAATTTTCTTTTGCAGGACGCACAAGGGTCGCCGCACACTGGCAACCGGAGACGCCGCAAAGCGCTCTGCCACCTACACTGTCACTGTTTTTTTTTTACCTTTTTTAATAGAACGAGCAGCGTAATCCAACGTCAACTGTGTGCAGCGAGGTATAAAGGTTTTTATGACAGGCAGCCGTAGACAAGCGTTCACTAGATAGAAGGTAAATACCCCAGCCCTATTACATATAATTAAAACTTGCACATGGCTATTACGCAGTACCAAAAATTGACATTCCACGTGATTAATATGTGGATTTATCAGACGTAGAGTGTAAAATAAAATGATTCAGAGGGAATTAAACCTGTTGGTTATTAATGTGACATTAGACTGACCGTCAGAAATTACAGGACAGCCTTTATGGCTGTAGAAAACGTCGGTGAGCGAAAAGGCTAAGTCGGAGTTCCATCTGAGCATCATTCATATTGATATTAACTGCGGGTCTTGTGAGCCAGTGGTCATCAATCGTATCTAAGATGCATCTAACTTGTTATTACGAGAGTAATACTAATATGACATGAGATATTGCGCAAGAGTGTAAAATTATTAAGACGAAAAATCCGAATGATTGTAGCGATTAGAATAATCGTTCTCGAATACACGTCATTGATATTTTAGTATGAGAAAATTACAGATAATTGTATTTAATTTGTTGATGTTATTTTTTTATGACAAAACGCTCAAAATTCCATAGACAATGCGAAATTATCCAAGTACCACTAAGAGATTTAAAAAATAAAACACAGACTAGACTCAAACCCACGACCAAATTAAACTTTACTATATCAATCATTAATACATTTTTGAGAAAACGTCGGGTTGTAATAAAAATCAATTACAAACAAGTTACCTGATGTTTAAACCGTGTATATAAATCTATTTTCATGTAAAAAATATAGTAATGATAATTCATCATTATATGTCTATATAAAATTATATTTTATATCTATATATATTATCAATTTTTTTACAATTTGAAAGGTTTTTTCGAACATGTAACATAGGCTTTTGATCTTCAATAATGACGTGGATCAATCTAAAAATGTTGTAATAGGTGGTCTGTAAGCGCTTTCAATACTCTATAACAATAAAAGTAAGTCGTACGTTGTGAAAACCATTGTTAGAACGAAGGTAAGCCAGTCGCTAACGAATGTGAAGTGATATGACGACACCATCTGATTAGAGAAACAAAAAGCAATCTGAAGATGTCTTTGGGTCACCGAAGATGTGTAGCTACTTCGCAATAAGGTTTCTCAATGATATCAAACCAGTTGTGCCCGTACGTCCGCGTGGAATAGTTTTTTTGGCCATGTATTATTATACTAGCTGTGTCAGCGACTTCGTCCGCGTACAATAGTTATTTGGGGCATTAAAATTCGTTTTTGTAACCCTCCTCATCTGTACAAATTATATATAGCTATAGCTGTTACCAACGACGTTGTCCGCGTCTCGTCGTTCTTGCATGTTAATCTTAAAAGATAGATGTAGGTATACAGTCACGGACATTTTTTTGATAATTTAAAGAGAAATCATTCTATAATACTTATTTTTAAGTTTCCGTTCCCTTTTAGGGTACGCAACGAGAGCCCTCAAAGGCGGTTTTTTGTCAGAAGAGGTTCTCGACGTTTCGCCATCACGCGTGGACGGCATCATCAGGAGATGTTAGCTTCTCGATTGCTCGAAGAATTATGATTCTTCTCTCTTCTCGCTCACATCGGCCGAACAGCCCGAAAGACAATGATATGCTAAACGATGACCGTGAAAGCCTTGCACGCGATTTTTCATATTTTCCACTGTATGTTCGCTTCTATTGGTCGCCTTATAGCCTTAGTTCTCGAGTTTTTCAATTCAAACCAGTAGTTCCTGAGAATAGCGCGTTGAAACAAACAAACTCAGCTTATAATATTAGTATAGATTAAAGCCAATTTATTGTGGTTTTGGTTATTCGGAAATCCAGACTGAAATCACATTACTGACTGACTGAAATTTCATGGTCCTATCGTCCATTTAATAACCAGATTTTTCAGACAAATTCAAACATATTTGAGAAAATTTTAAATCGATTTAAGAACCATGTTAAAAAATCTTGTCAGTTGAACCTACGACCAAGTCTGGCAAACTTAATCATAAAATTAATAAAACTCATCTTTTGTTATATATTATTGCTTCTATGTTAATATTAACGGACGACGTATTGTTCACAGCAGACAGAGCAATCAAAAACTATTTTTATAGTGTTGTATACCCTTGACAACTGATTTAATTTCAACAATATCTTGCTATACCTAATGGTATAGATTTAATAATCTATTCTCAAGAGAAAATTAATATTTATAACTATTACACATACATATTTATACGGTAAATATATTTAATTTTTTAGTATTCCTTTAAATTGAATAATGTATCACAAGCAAATAAAACACTTTTAACAGGTTTAAACTCGAAATGTACTAGTTACACTATTTACGCTTTATTCTTACTATGGCCCGGCGTTTCGGATGCTTCGCAGACGTAGCCCGTTGTAAACGGTTTAACGTTTTATTTAAATGTTTCGCTACTCGCGTCATCTATCATATCTTAGTAGCGAAATATATCATGTTTAGATAGTTACTTAGTTCTCTCAGCTGGGACTAGGTATTAGGGTTTATCTACTACACTGGTTAAACACGTGTTAGAAAATTACACATACCTATGCTTTCAGGCCTAGCATTTAGGCTGTATTCCTTCAGATATTCGAGTGTACAGAAAGATAAATATTTAGATCTTCGATCGTGGATTACATTTCCTCAAAAACGTATTGAGATTCCCGTTCTATTCGCCCGATTTCGTTAGGTTAGAAAATAAATAAAGAAACTTACCGTTCTACTAGAGGAAGAACATTGTCAAGGAACTCGTAGCCCGCATGCGTCGTATACGTAATCGTCTCATGACACGATATAGTCCCATGGTCTGCGCGTATGAAATTCTTTAACACCCAAAACTCCCCACGCTGCACCGTCTGAGGTAGCATGTCTTTATCGCTGCATCCCAATAGCGTCCGGAGATACGCAAGTGTGGTCGGCGACAGATTGTCTTCATCCTCAATTTCTATGCTGGTAGCATTAGACGCTTCCGGCTCTGGAACCGCACTCATCACTTTCCTTTCTATCTCAGGAATGGAAGCGGTGCTCGATGCAGTCTTATTCGTTGTCGCCATAGTCGATGGCGTCTTCTGTGACGTCGACTCTTCGAAGTTCCTGGCGCTGGGCTCTAGCGATTTCGTATACGTCTCGTTTCTAACGTCTTGGTTAAATTTGTACTCGGCGGACCTCTGCTCGCCGTCTACCGGGATCCAGTAGACCCCAGGTGTGGTAGTGTTCCCTGACAGCTGCATAGCCGCGTACAGTAGCACCGCTATGTTTATCACAATGCTCACTCTGAAGAGGAAGTTTCGACGATTAGCCACCATTTTCGTAGCGATTTAGGCACTTGTGCTTACAATACTAGTGTTTGTTACAACGTCCTCCGTCGTCCTCTAGGACGTAGTCTTCTGTAGGGTCCTGTGCGTGCCAGCATCACAGATTATTGTGACGTCAGCAGGCGTGTGGATGAAGGCGCCAAGACGGCGCCTCGCTCTATTCTCGCTCCTGCAAAAAGAAATATACATCGTTAATTACCATGTCTCCGCGAGATATGTTCAACCTCCATTAAATTATGTTAATCGTCTTTAATCTATTAACTTCACATTAGTTGTTATGAGTACATGTATCAGAAGGTATTAATTCAAAGATTTAACGAGAAGCTCGGGGCAATTCTTAATCGAGTGATATAATAATATAATTCAATGTTATAAATATTCTATTCTATATTTTCATACGAGCACGTTCTGGTTGATAAAATTATATCTAGAGCATACATTGAATAAACACTTCATGGTTGAAAGTGCGATAAAATTTAGTTTATTCGAGACATATATCGTATTGGTTAAGAACTGATCTTCATAGCATGTATTTTAAACGAAATCCTGTTTCCACCTGGGCTATGGGGCGAACACATATCTGTGACCGTTTCACTGATCGTATTCATTAACCTTCAAGTAATCCCACTTCTGTGGCCTGCCCGAACGATACAACTAATTTTCCCGGGATTCGAGCCTGCTTTTCTTATGTTTAACGTGCTAGACCTTTAACTATTAAAATAGAGCCGGGCACGTATTTAGACGACGTAATTAACCCAGTCACAGATACACATCGTCTTATCCAACACTCTTGTACAGCTATGCGATTAGCATTTCTTGTCATTCCTTAATTAGCAAGTCTTGTTCTGATCTACGCTTATCAGGCAAGATCATTCCTATTCATATATTATCTGTGCTGGTTAAGCAAGGATAATTAATCTCCAGTAACTTGTTGAAAGGACGAGTGATTATGAAAATGTAAAGATATGTCCAATCGTCGTTATTTCTAAGTATAAAAAGATTAAGTACTAGATGTTACTTTGTCATCGTGGGAAACCTACTAAGCATGTTCATTTGTAAGATCAGATTCAGTTTATGCAAATTTACATGGCTCCTTGCAATATAACGTCAATATCTATATTATAATTAACCTTTACCAACTCAAACCTTTCTTTAGACACCACAGACTTTTATCTTTTTTGAAGACCTTAACAACTCTATATAATAATAAATAAATGAAAAAACACGTTTATTATCTGCAAAATATAAAATGACAATTGACAACATCACAGCGTCTCACTTTTCGTATTGTTATTCGATTCGGTTGTCATTTGATGACATACAAAGAATAAATAAGCAAAATTGGACTGAACCGTGCCACAGACAAAGGTTAAAGATTAATTTAAAATTCTTTTGTATTCTACATCTCTATTCTATCGTCTACATCACCTCTGTAGCCCTTAATAATTAGATACTGTATATACTGTGTTAATATTAAAAGGCTGATATTGGCTTCAACTTATATGTCTTGTACTTACCGTTGAAAGCTGTGGCATCTATGTCTCGGACATATTTTATCTATAAATGGCAGGTTCTAGCGGATTACATTTACAATTGATCGTTTTTATGTATAACTGTCTTCTTATTTACAACATTCATGTAGCGACTAGTTGCCTTAACACACTATCTTAGATTCTCCACAAGGAATTGATAGTACGTCAATATTTATTCTTTTTAATTGACAAAGTATACAATGTGCGGCCAGTTTGTATGGAATATTAAATTGACAGCATATACAAAGCCAGATGTTATCAAAGTCAAAGGTATTGTTAAAAGGGGATAATTTGATTTGGTTTCAAATTCATAATTATTTAACTTGTATTCATAATAATAAGAATAAATAAACATCGGAAATGAATGCTGATTAATTGCTGTAACCTTGTTTAATAAACAATATTGTTCTTTTTCCTGAGGAAAATTGTTTATTTTTCGCCATGCTGATAAATTCCTACATCATAAAAGCTTAAATATCTCAATCTCAATAACAGTAATATACTTAAGTAACGTCTGTAGTTTACGATTGTAGTACACATTTAAATGAAACACTGGTAACGGTTTAAAAGCACTTAGCGTTTAGAAACGAGAGGACGCCCCGAGTTAGTTCTGTAAGGACCCGGCTAATTTATCCAAATACTAACTCAACAAATGGCGCTAGAGTGAAAAATGTTGTCTCATAGGAACATCCACCTTATTTAAACTCCCGTGACCACGGCTGCTGCAGCTTCTGTATTACTCATATCACTAAACGTCAGCGTTCTATCTAGGGTTGCCAACGGTGAAGAAAAAAACTGTAAACATGTACATTTTTTAGAATTATCTCTTTTCATTGTTGAAAATATAGTAATTTCCATAATATATTTTACTTCAACAGTACATAGATTCGAATTATAGTACCATACTATAAAATATAGGTAGCAGCTGGCAACCGCTCTAAACCCTCCCCCCTCTAGTGTATAAGCCACTGCGTAACGTATGTAGATAATATACAGTGATAGCTTACAATAAGGTACCCTGGGGTCTGAAGGTATACTAACACAAACATAAAAATTAAAATAAAAGTTTCATTACCCAAATTTTAACACGTTTAAATAATTATGAATAAGGTTTTGTGTAGTAATAATATGAAATTTAATACCTAATGAGAAGATTATTGTGTTTTAAAAATAAAAAAAAAAAAATAAAATATAAAATTTAAATATAAATATAATGTTTAAAAAAATTTGAAAAAAACGGCGAAAATTATCCGTGTTTGCGATTTCGTTGCGTGCTCTACGAAAACGTTTCAAGATACCCAAAAATATGTATGAAAGAATAATTCCTCTTTAAATAATAAAAAAAATGTCCGAGACAGTATTATCTATCTTATATGATTAACTTGCAATCACGACGCGACGGGGCACGGACGACGTGAATGGTAACAGCTCGTTCGATATATAATAACCTTCTGTATGAAGTCGTATGTTCGTTACACTATATTTTATTATATTTTTGTGTCGTGTCCGACCGAATTAAGGACTACACACCGTATATGGCGGGTTGACTTTAAAGACTGCCACAGATTAGTAATGATAATCCAGGGCGATGGCTACCCTACGATGCATCGTGATGACACTATTTCCAAATTAGCAAGTAGAAAAAAAAAACAAATTAATAAAATTTCAAAATTTGAAGAAAATTGATGGCACAGCCGGGCCTTGAACTGGCATCCGCGCGCTTACCGTGCTGTTCTTACCAATTGAGTTACAGCGTCCTGAATGTCATCGTCCATTTTTTTCAAATTAACCTCAATCCTTACATTACGAGATTTAATGTCGTATATGCTTTGAAGCTTAAGAAGTGAAGTTAAAAATATTATTACAGATTTTTTTATTCACATTAGTACCACCATGAAAAAATATTACAATATTTTTTTAAATTTCAAATTAATTTTTAGCCCGAACCGCAATTAGAACTACAGTCCAACGAGACAGTCGTATTATTGTGGCAATTAGAACAAAATAATGGTGTAAGACGCTTTGAAACCCTTTTATTATAACATTAAGATCTTATTTAATTTAACGAGACATTGCCTAACTATTACGTTACAAGTTATGACACAGTAGGTCTATTATTAAAGCACATATACGAATGGACGACAACTGTGGCTCTTGGTTGAACTAGGATCATGGTTTGTTAAGGGTAGCAATGTGTAGCAATAATAACGGGTCATAGGTCCAATCTCTATGGGGTCTAACTTATATTTTTTCTGAAACATGTTGGCCTTCGTGTGGAAATCTGGTATATAAATGGGTGGTGGGAATATCGAAAATTCCGTCCAGGTCACGTCCGTCCACAGATCAAAAAGTTTATTCGGCTTCAGTCTGTGGATTTTCGAATATCCAAAGCCCAAATAGGTCGCGTGTTATTGGTTGCAGAATTACATCCTACCAATGCTCGTCTAATAAAGAAAATCTACTTTTGTCTAAACTCTAAATAAAAACGATCAGCGGAACAGACACAGTAATCTTAGTACTTAGCTTTGTCATTTACTAATGTGAAGTGTACTTTCTTTTTCTTAATATTTTCTAGGTGAGTATTTGTTTGGTTTTTATAAGTTGACATAACGTTTGCACTGAAAAAGTTGTCATCTAAATCCAAATATATTTTAAATGGTTGGAAAGAGAGCTTTAATATAAATCTTATCGCGTGTGCCTACAGTTTCGAAAAATGGCGGACATAACTGTTTTTCTTTAGAAGATCTAAAGACTAGGACATACGGTCTGTCTTTTAAGTTCTCATTTAAACAGCTGGAATAGCTGGATAGGTAAACTAGATTTATGTGTGAAAGTCCCTTTCCCCTGGTGAGGCATGGGACGAACACATTTCTGTGTCCGTTTCACTGATCCGTTATTTTTAACGGGCAAGTAGTTGATCAGACTTCTGTGCCCTGCCCGACCGAAACAATTTTATGTTTCCTTGGGATTCGAACCCAGGACCTCGAAATTAAATTGAAAAAATTTTCGACTCGGGCAGGACTTGAACCGGCATCGTCAGCGTTCCGTGCTCTTGCTCTACCAATTGAGCTACCGAGTCCTACACCTTTAATAATAGTAGTCATTCTGTTTGCACGACAATACTACCGAAAGTAATGCATCGATCATATCGCACTTTTCAACATTTAAAGCTGACCTTGGAATAACATCTATAGACTAATAGCTGTGACCGCGACTTCGTCCGGTTGGAATAGTGAGTTGGGGTAGAATTTTGCCGCAACACTCTCACCTCACATCACTCCTACTCTAACTCCCACTCTCATTCCTACACTCACTCCCACTCCCACGCCTATTCCCAAAAAGCCAAGGAAGAAAGTTTCATTGTTCTAGCTTCAAAAACCATGAATTTTCATACAAACTTTCATCCCCTTTTTCAACCCCTATCAAGCCTGTTTAGCATTAAAAAGTATAGTAAAAAATCTGTGTACCAAAATTCATTTAAATCAGTAGTTTCGGAGTTAAAGCCAGACAGACAGACAGACAGAGTTACTTTCGCATTTATAATATTAGTATAGATAGACTGTATACAGCAAATGCAGCATTGGAAAGTTGGCAGCGAAAACAGTTATAGTTAGTTCAAAAATAATGTAGGTATACC